CTAAATTTAAATTCTTGTTTATTAAATAAATTATTAACTTACACCTAGTATAACTGCAGATAAACATAAAAATTATAATCTGCAAAAAAATTAATAATAAATTATTTTTATTATAAAAAAATATCATTTTCAATTACTATAATTTATAATGCACATATTTCATGTTGAGATTTGATAATATAAATTTTATATTATTTATTTTTAAATATTAATTATATCAGTTTGAGAAAAATATTGTAACAATAATAATAATAAAAACTGTAAATTTTCAATTTATATTTATTCATTTATTAAATTAGTTTTAACACAATGACTGAAAGTTAAATCTAAAAGTTATGTAGAAACTTAAATTCAATTCAAATGTATAAATACATGTTAATTATGTAAGTATAAATTCGAAAATATAATTATTAAATCAATTAAATAGTTAATTTTCAGTTTTATTTAACCAATAAAGACAAAAACTATTGAGACTATTGTGAATACTAAAAAGTATTCCAGAAATCGAACAAGATTCTAATAAGAATTAGAAAAGTTATCAGTGTATATTTAAACAATTTTTTTAAATTTCTGAACATTTTTAAATATTTTTTAATATTTAAAAATTTCTTCTCTCTAAAACTAAATTTGCTATATTATATAAAAACTTGGTATTTTTTATTTATTTTAATTTATTTTTATTATATGTATATATTTTTAAACAACTATATATTAATATATAGTCAATTTTATATTTATATTAATATTTTTTAAATTTATATTCATATTAATATTAATAAATTTTATTTACATTTAATATTTCTTTTACTATCAGGTACTACGACAGTTAATAAAATCCCCAAATTTCAATATCTGGCTATACAAAAACTATTAAAATAAATATTACATAACGATATTGGAATTAAAATACCTCATGTCGATTTTATTTCCATTTTAGCAAAGGCTAGAGGCCATTGCACATTACCATGTAGTTTTTACAACAAAAATTGTTCATTTTAAATTAAATTTTAATTATAAAAATTCAAGAAATCTTTTGTGAAAAGTTGTAAAAGAAATATTAAAATTGTGTGCAAGTGTTGAAAGGTTATTTATTAGTGTTTGAAATTTATATCGAAGAAATATTCAATGTAATCAATATTTGGTAGATATAAAATCAAGTTTTTTGGATACATTAAATTTCTATTAAATTTATAAATTTTATTAAAATTATTTCGAATTATTAAGCGATAAACACGTTAATTAAATGTTTTTTCAACATTAAACTTTACTCACTTATTATTAGATAATAATAGTATTTAATGCTAAAATAATATTTAATTTTAATACTCTTTTCAAATTTTATTTAGTGTTTATAAAACTATATTGTAATTATTATTTAAATTCGTGATGTTGACTTTGAAACTTTAAAGTTTTTTAAAATCTATGAATTTTTTTGTGTTTGAGTCATTTTTTTAATTTCTGAACATTTTTCGTATATACTGTGAATTTTTGAGCGTTTGTTTTTTAATTTAGAGCTACATTTTTAAATTCTGTCCAATTTTTGAGCATTATTTTTTTTGAAATTGTAAGAATGTTTCTTTTAAATTCTGTGTATTTTCTTAGAATTGTCTAAATTTGTGAGCATTTGTCTAAACTTGTGAAAACCTTTCTAAATTTGTGAACATTATTTTAAATTGCTAAACATTTTTCCCTTTAATTGTTTTTCTAAAATTCTGTGCATTTTTCTAAAATTCGTGCATTTTTCTTTAAAAATTCTGGGCATATTTTTTTTTCTTAAAATTAGTGTAGTTTTCTTAAATTTGGTCAATTTTCTCTGTAATTTTATTCATGTTTCATTTAATATTTTGTGCATATTTTTTCTTTTAAAATTCTGTGCATTTTTCTTCTAAAATGTTCATATTTTTTTCTTAGAATTTTTGTAAAATTCTGAGAATTTTTTTGAAATTGTGACCATTTTTCTCTAAAATTTTGTAAACTTTTTTCTAAAATTTTGTGCATATTTGTTCTTTTTAGTTTCATTTAGTGCATTTTTCTTCTAAAATTTCGCTTATTTTTTTTTTAAATTGTAGTTCAATTTTTTTTCAAACTTTTATTCATATTTCATTTAATATTTTGTGCATAATCTTGCTTTTAATATTCTGTGCATAATTTTTCTCAAATTTAGTGTATTCTTCTTCTAAAATTCCATCTAATCGTTGTGGATTTTTTTTCCTAAAATTTAATTCATATTTCTTTTGAGATCTTCTTTTAAAATTCTGTTCAATTTCTTGTAAAATGATGCGCATATTATTTCTTCTAAAATTATGTGCAATTTTTCTCTAGAAATTTTGTAAATTTCTGTGCATTTTTCTTTTTAAAATTCTGTGCATTTTTTTTCTTAAATTCTGCGAATTTTTCATTTAAAATTCTGTGCATTTTTCTATTAATTCTGTGCATTTTCTTTTAAAATTCTCTGCATATTTCTTTTAAACCTCTGTGTATATTTTTTCTTGAATTTAATGTAGTTTTTCTTTAAAATTCCGTCCTTTTTTCAAAATTTAATGTGGATATTTTTCTAAAATTTTATTCATATTTCTGTTAATATTTTTTGCTTATTTCTTTTAAAATTCTGTGCATATTTTTTCTTAAATTCCGTCCGTTTTTTTTTAAATTCTGATGTTTTTTTCTTAATTTTCTGTGCGTAATTGTTTTTAAAATTCTATTCATTTTTCTTTTAAATAATTATAATTATAAGATAAAGTGTGTGTTTTTTCTTAAATTAGGACATTTGTTTTTAAATTTGTGCATTTTTTTTTAAATTTTCGAATTAAATACCGAATAAAATTTAGTTTTGTGCGAACTTTGAGTATTTTTAAAAAAATAATGAGCTCAATTTAAATTATCTGAGTAATGTTTATAATATCTGAGTAACTATATATAAATTCACTTTAATTTTACAGGTAAATTATATATTTTACTATTAATTTAATTGCTATTTAGTTATTCAAATATAAAAATCGCATCAGTGTTAAAAATTTAAAATATTTGAACAAAAAGTTATTTATAAAATAAAGTGCAATAATAAATTATTATAAACAAAAAAAAAAAAACATTTATGCGCAATGGCCGGTGTTTTATTCGTGGTTTGCGTCCCGTCTGCCCAATACGAACAAGAACTATCGCAGCGTCCTCTAACCGAAGATTTGAACCGCCGAGGCTCAGAAGGACCCCAGACGAGCACCCCTGCCGATCTACATCAAAACGGGTTGCTACAGGGGCGCACTTTCCTACCACACAATATAAAATCCAACGGGATAGCAGGTCAGTAGAAAAAATAATAATTAACTTCCCGTAGGGTAGTTATAGTAATCGTCCAAAAATCGAAAATGAAAATTTTTGCAAATCTCGACGTTTTGAAGGTTTCTGAAAATTTTTGTGTTTTGTGTCCGCATTCTTTCGTCCACGTATTCGAGCGCACGGATCAACCGATTTGAATGGTTTAACTAGTGGGGCGCATGGCATCGTGCCTTAAGGCAAATTGCTGGAACTTCCAGTACCAAAAAACTTTTGAAAAAAAATTACTCTGAAGAATTAGATTTTTGAGAAACTAAAATATTTTGACAAAATCTCTATAAAATATCTGATAATTTAATGTGCATATGTCTAATGATCATTTTTGACCGCCAGATGGCGTTTTCTTTTACTTTTTTTACTAGATCTCCGAAACCGCTAGACCTGCCTTCATGGAATCAGTTCTTCATCTTGTTGATACAAATAAAATGTTTTTTGAATTATTCAAATCGGACGCTCCGTTCTCTTAAACAATGAGTTACCGTTTTTGGCACTTTTTGCCCCATATCTTCGGAACAGCTAGACTTACCTTCGCCAAAAACTAATCAGCACGTCTCCTTATCAATACGAATCGAATGTTTTTTGAATTATTCAAATCGCTTCATTCGTGTTCACGAAATCGTCGACCAAATTTGTATCCGAACACACATACACACACGCACACACACATACATCCATTTTTTCTAAGGTATGCCAAAATGTTCAGAAACCTCTGAAACGTAAACATATATAAACAATTTCATTTTCGATTGCTTTGTGATTATTATAACTTACCCTACGAAAAGTTAAAAAACATTCGATCCCTATTGATAGGGAGATGTGCTGGTTAGGTTTTGGCAAAGGCAGGTCCAACCGTTACGGAGATACGGAGCAAAGAGTGCAGAAAATAGAAATCGAGTTTTTGAGAGAACGGAGTATCGTATTTGAATGAACTAAAAAACATTCAATTTGTAATGATTGGGAAAAGAGTTTTTGGCAAAGACAGGTACCGCCATTTCGAAGATACAGAGCTAAATGTGCAAAAAATGGCAGTTTTTGGGTGAACTAAGCGTCCGATTTTGAATGATCTAAAAAACTTTCCGCTCGTATTGACAAAACAATTTCTTTTGAGAATAAAAAATTATTACATCTTCTTTTATTTTCCATAAAATATTTTTGTAATTTTGGATTAAAAATTCAAAAAATTACCCAGGCTAAGCACAGTCTAAGCGCCTCTCTGGTACAAATGTTTACCCAAGTGCGTTTAGACTGTTTATGTAGTAGAACACTTTTCCAATTTTGTGAAAACCATTGAAAAATGTGAAAATGCCGCCAAGCTAAGCACAGTATAAGTGAAAATGACGCACGGAATTATTTGCAAATGCGTTTAGACTGTGACTATACTACGGTGGCAACTTTTTTTTTTTCAAATTGAATTCGAAATGAAATGACGATTGTTAATGTTCTGGAGATAAAATGATTTATGATTTACATTTGATTTGCTCATTGTCAGATATAACAAGATAGCAAAAATAATGAAAGTTACAGTATTTGTAATAATATATTTGAAAACGTTTAAAATTTCTCAAATATTTCATTACGGTACGGAAGTTCCAGCAATTTGCCTTAAGAAACGATGCCATACACCACTATTTATAATTACAATAATACTACAATTGTTTTTTACCCAGGTAATGACGAAAGTGTGATCCTAATCCATGACGAGTTGTGTCAGGACGATAGGACTCCCATAGCTTTGTGCAAGAAGCCCGAGAATGTGTTCGTGGGGGGCGCAGAGGCTCTAAAGAAGTCTTGGGACGGTTTCAGGGAGCTCGTGGGACAAACCAGTGCCATTTTAGCGGAGAAAAGGGGCGGTTCGAGGAAATTGTTAGAGGAGAATTATGATGACGATGGTGGTAGAAGCGAAGGGCCCCTTATGCCCATGGAAAAGGTAAAAAAAGGTAAAGGTGAAATGATGAGTTATTACTTGTTTTGGGTTTTTCAGGTGCTCCGTGAGCTTTTGATCAGTATGGGAGTTGATAATGCTGTTTGGTGCGATGGCAAAGGAGGCAGATATTATCAGGTAAAATCTTCTAAAAATTTCACTTATTAATGGTAAAAATCCATATTTTTTATTTTTTATATTTTTACAGGTTCTCTTTAGTATAGAATCCGGGGCATCCTGCGAGCGCGTCCTTCAAGTATTCTCCGATTGTGGAATAGGGCTTCGACTGAATTCGGCTGTCAGTGTGATACCTTGCGCCTTGTACTATCAAGGTGATCCTCCAGAAGGAGCCCAAGGGGGCACACTGAACGCCAGAGATCGAAACAACGGAGACGGAGGCTCCGGAAGCTCGGATGACGAGTAAGTAGTAAAACTAGTGGCATCATGCCTTAAGGCAAATTGCTGGAACTTTCCGTACCGTAATTAAACATTCGAGGAATGAAAATGATCATTAATTGTTTTGAATAATTTCAAATAGATTATTTATTATAAATACATACTGTGTACTTACAAGTGCTTTTTGAATTGGGCAAAAAGCGTATTTTATGAACAACTTATGTGTACGTTTACAAATGTTAATTTTTCTTTATTTTGATTTTTTTGATAATTTAGAATTTTTTTTTAAATGTTGAAATTTTTTTAGAAGTTTGAAATTTTTTTAGAAGTTTGAAATTTTTTGAAATCTAAAAAAACGTTTATAAATATTTTGATAATTTGAAAACATTCGATATATTTTTGAAATTTTCGAAATATTCTCAAATTTTTGTAAGAAATCATTTTTTTTAATTTTTCAAAATTTAGTTTTTTTTATGAAAAATTTCGAAAACTGGAACTTTGATTTTTTTTCAAAATATTGATTTTTTTTTGATAATTTTCAAAATTAAGAAATTTTCTGTAAATGCATTTTTTGCACACCGTCTACTCAAGCAAAATGTTTTAATTAATTAAATTGAATTAATTTAATCGGATGATCCGTTCTCACACAAACTGCATGACCATTTTTACACCCTTTACGCTCCATACCTCCGAAACGGCTAGACGTGCCTTTTGCAAAAACTATATACATGAAATTTAAAATTAAAAATCTTGGTACGGAACCCAAAAAAAATTATACAGAATGTGTACGTATTATTAAAATCTCTATAAAATATCTGATAATTCGATGTACATATGTCCAATGAACATTTTTGACCGCCAAATGGCATTTTTTTAACTTATTTTTATTGAGAGTCTATAATCGCTAGACCTACCTTCGCAAAAATTTAATCAGAACTTCATCTTGTCAATACAAGTAAAATGTTTTGTAAATTTTTAAAATCGGACACTCCGTTCTTTTAAAAACCGTGTTACCGTTTTTGGCACTTTTTGCCCCGTATCTTCGGAACGGCTAGACCTGCCTCCGCCAAAAACTAATCAGCACGTCCCCTTATCAATACGGATCGAATGTTTTTTGAATTATTCAAATCGGTTGATCGGTGTTCCCGAAATCGTCGACGAAAAATTGTATCCGCACACACACACGCACGCACACACACACATACATACATTCTTTCTATGGTAATATTTCGAAAATTTAAAAAAAAAATCAAATATTTTCAAAAATTTCTAAATTCTCAAGATATGTATTTAGAAAAAACTTTTTAAAATTCCAAAAAAAATTATACTTCTAAAAGAAATTTCAAAATTTTGACAAAATTTCTAAATTATCAAAATTTTTCCAAATTATCAACCAATCAAATTCAAAAAGAAAATGAACTCTTGTCCATTGTCTTGTCTTGTCTTGTAAACGTAAAAAAAAAACAAATTTCTTATAAACATACACAAGGTTGTTTGTAGGATACGCTCGTCGCCCAATTTAAAATGCACTTATAAGTGGGAAGTTCCAGCAATTTGCCTTAAGGCACGATGCCATGCGGCCCACTAGTTATTATTTTTAACTATCCTTTATCTAGGAACAATGCAGCGCATCCCAAAGCTTCCTCCGCCTGGGACAAATTCGTTCAGTCAGTGGGTGCGCGACTCACAGTTGCACAAGTCGTGGAAAGCGTGAAGGCAGAGGCGGCTTGGACTTTCGATTTTATGATTTTACTAATAATAGCAGCGTAAGTAGATTCTGTTTTCATCAACATTAAATAATAATTTGTAAAGTAAATATGTTACATATTTTTTGTAGTTTTTTAGCTGCTTTGGGTCTAGTTGAGGACAGCACTGTGTTTTTGGTGTCTAGTATGCTTATTTCGCCACTCATGGTAATTATATATATATATATATATATATATAATATGATATATATATATATATAATATGATATATATATATATATATATATATATAATATGATATATATATATAATATGATATATATATATATATATATATAATATGATATATATATATATAATATTATATATATATATATATATATATATGTTTCAACATTGTGTGTCATCATTCAGCAACGTTACAAATTCAAACCAAATAAAACACACAACTTTAAACATATAGTTTGCAATATTTTAGTCACGTGACTAACTTAGTATGTTATTTTATTTTGACCAAAATTTGTTTTTTTTAATACAGTGTGTTCAAATTTTATAAAAATGTATTTTTCTGCTAAGAGCTTGTTAACTTGCTGAAGGATGTCATCAGAGGCAAAAGCATTTTTATGAAATTTTAACACACTGTATTAAAAAAAACAAATTTTGGTCAAAATAAAATAACATACGAAGTCAGTCACGTGATTACATTATTGCAAAAAATCTTTTGCAAACTATGTGTTTAAAGCTGTGTTTTTTTGTTTGAATTTGTAACGTTGCTGAATGTTGATACCATATCCCAATGATGGCTCAAATACAGTGCCAAAACGTACACCATGAATTCTCTTTAATGTATTTCATAAAGGACTATACTATACTACCGAACAGACTGATCATAATCGACTTCGAGGTAAAATCCTGTAATTTGTTGCAATTTACAACAAATAAAAGGACTCTACTGACGAACAAACTGATAATAATTGTCTTGAAAGAAGATTCAAGAAAAGAAAATGACTCTACTGGCGAACAAACTAATAATCATCGACTTGAATCAAGAATCGAGTAAATCTTTAACAACGAGACTCTTCTACTGACAAATAAATGGTCATAATCAACCTGGAGAAACATTTCAGTGAAATATTGCAATTTGTAATAGACAAAAGGACTCTAATGACAAACTAGTCATCATAGACTTAAAACAAAAATCCAGTAAATAACTACAATTTGTAACAGAAAAAATGACTTCACTAACGACCAAACTATCAAAAAAATAATCCAGTAAATTATTACAATTTTCACAAAGGGACTCTACTGACGAACAAACTGGTGGCCATTGAATTGAAGAAAAAATCGAGCATTTTCAATAGACAAATGGACTTAAATGTTTGAAGATTATAAATTATAATTTGAAATAATCATTCATATTTTTTTTAAATATTGCTCCTTCTGTTTTCGAGATATTTTTTAATATTATCTAGCCGTTTTGTTTCAATTATCTGGACAATCATTTAAATATAGGCTTAATAATATATTCGAACGTTTTTTGAATTATCTGGTTAGACTCTGGATTAATATTTGGACGTTATTTTTAAAACAATTTGAAGGTTTATTTTGTTGACATCCGTGTGTCAACATTTACTTCAATATTTATCACTCTAAATTAAATTCTTGAACTCAAATATTCAATTTTCCTTTTTCCCTCTAGGGACCTATTATTGCTGGAACCTTCGGAACCTGCATCCACGATCGCAGCCTGATGCGTCTGGGAGTTGTCAATGAAATGCTCGGAATTCTTTTAACAATGTTCATCGGATTTCTCTTCGGCCTGGTCATCTGTATGATAGACGACAGATACGGAGTGGGAGAGTGGCCAACGAACGAAATGTTATCGAAGTAAGATAAAATATTCTGTTCGAGTTAGCAATTATAAATTTAGTAATGTTCTGAACAGGTGTGAAATCCGTTCCTTGTGGGTCGGAGCCTTAATAGCGTTTCCATCGGGTGCTGCTGGAGCCTTGGCGGTCTTGGGAGACAATACGGGGTCCTTGGTAGGAGTTGCTATATCTGCATCGCTTTTACCACCTGCTGTAAATGCAGTAAGTAGAAAGAACTATTTGGTAATAAATTACTTTTTACTTCTAAAATATGTGATTTCATGTATATTCGTCCTTTAAGTCTTTCTAATTCACCTTATACCAAGCAAGATCTATTTGTATTTGAGTTTTTTCTCGCTTTATTTATCACCTTTTTCGTCTTTGGTAGATTTATTTTCGAAGTCAAATGGCATATCAATTTTTTTTATTTGGTTCACAAAGTTCGTGCAGAGCTATACTCCAAGTTTAGAACTTTTTGCCATATAACAATTTGCTTGCCAATTTTTTAATTTTTTTTTTATTATTATCTCTTTTATTTACAACTATCCAGGTCGGGACATTCAATAAATTTGATGAATTTACAATAGTCAGCCGAAAAAGTACATTGTATACTAAAAGGGCATGATATAAAATTCACAATACATTTGCTTGCCAATAGTCTTTTTTTAGTTTTTAGATTACTAATGAATTTGATCGTCAGTAGACTCCGATTTTTATCTACTAATTGTAAGTCGATACATAATTTTCGTCAGCAAAATCCTCTTTTTATTCTAATGTACTTTATTTGAGCAGAATCCTTTAAAATGCCTCTTTTCATATCGCTACTAAGCAATTTGCTTGTCAGTAGTGTTGCTTTTTATCTTCTATGTTATTAATTTGCTAGTCAGTAGAGACCCTTTTTAAATCTTAAGTTGCCAATTAATTTAAATCTAAAATTCTAATTAGTTCGCGTGTTAGTAGAGTCTTTTTTTTAAGTCTACGTCGCTAATTCATTGCTTTTCAGTACAGTTCTTTTTTGATATTCCAAATAACTCTTCAATTTGCTCGTCAGTCCCTCTTCAAATCTTACTTGTTGTTAAGTAATATGCTCTTTAAATATTCTCCTTCAACTTTAAAAATGTTGATTAGTTTGCTTGTAAGTAGAGTCCATTTTTGTCTTCAACTCGACAAATTTTTTTTTTAATTCTCTAGTCTTATTTTGTCAGTAGACTCCTTTGTACAAATTTATTAATCAGCAATTACTTCATTTCTCTAATGAAGGTCCTAAATGCTGAATGCTAATTACAATGACAAACCGATCATATCATATTTAAAGTATGACTTCAATTATATTAAAGTTTTTAAATATTATACATGTTTTTAATGGTATTATAAATGTATAATTTATAATTTATTATTATATAAATGTGTATAATAATCGACATTAATAAATGTTTGCATCGCGAGTGTTACCATATTACTGATGAACATTAATCAAATTTGTTATATGACGTATTTATTTTTACTTAAATGCCATCTTGTACAGTAGCAAATTAGTTTTACTTCAATCGGGTGTGAACCTTACGCGCACTCTTTTTTTTCTCTCCAGGGTTTAGTATGGGCAATGTCCTTTTCCTACCTCATCTGGCAGAACAATTCGACCAAATTCAACACCATCGTCGACACTCAACAATATTCATCGAACCAGGCCGTCGAATTGGCCGTCATGGGTTTCATCAGCTTGTGTCTGACTCTGGTCAACGTCATTTGTATTTATGCTGCTGGAATTTTAGTACTAAAGGTAATAAAAAAAAATACATGGCAAAAAACCATGATGATGTTATACGTGATTATTATTACAGGTTAAGGAAGTGGCTCCTTTACGTTCGAGCAGTGCTCGTCATTTCTGGAGACACGACGTGCGTATTGCAAGGGATTATAATAGGACTTTACGTGGTGATGAGGCTAGAAATTTAGCTAATGATTTGTTAGCGAAAAAGAATACCAAATTGGTGAATGGGATGAAACATGCCAGAGACTACAATAGGAGGTACTCCGAGGCTTACGGGTAAGATAAAAAAAAATTGAAGGGTTTATAAAGAACATACCTATGTCTTTTATTACCTTTAGTCTTAGTTTGGAGCAAAACCGCATGCGCCAATTGCGAGAACGTCTAAACCAGTGGACCTGGTCACCAGCTCCTGTTGAACCAGAAAGACCAACAATCAGAGACCTCAAATCCCTCTACGAGTCCCTCACTGGTGAAAGGTACGAAGGCAACAGGATGGGAATCGGCGGAAGCAACAATGGTGTAGGCTCTGGTGTGAATAATGCAAAACCTAGAAGGTAAATGCTTTGGTTAAAATATTAATATTTTTAACTTCCCGTAGGGTAGTTATAGTAATGGGCCGAAAATCGAAAATGAAAATTTTCAATGAAGGTTTCTGAACATTTTGTCATACCTCAGAAAAAATGGATGTGTGAGTGTGTGTGTTTTGTATCCGCATTTTTTCGTCCAAGTTTTCGGGCGCACGGATCAACCGATTCGAATGGTTTTAAAAAACATTCGATCCCTATTGACAGGGAGATGTGCTGATTAGTTTTTGGCAAAGGCAAGTCCAGCCGTTACGGAG